AGATGCAGTTATGATAGAAGCAGCAAACTTCAGCTCTCTTCCAATTTTCTTTCTTCGCTCGAACCTCGCTCGTTTGACGCTCGGGGCTCCCGTGCCCCGCCCGAACATACCGACAAGTCTGAAATTACGAGGCGGACCTACTCGAACCCTCGGAACTCCCAAAACAACGCTAAATCTCGGAATCACCCCCTAAAACCAAATGAATCAAACTATTAAATCTTCAAGTTCTTAATTCTCCTCTAACGGGTCAAAACGCCCTTAAACTACTCGGATTGACACCAAATTTTACGGGCGAGTCTTAAACGATATTACGGACCTGTACCAAGCTTCAGAACCAAAATCCGAGCCCGATACCTAGGGAATCAATGATTAATTAGTTTCTTTAATTCCTTAAAGCTTCAATTAAAAAAATTTAGATAAAAATTCATTACTCGGGCTAGGGACCTCGGAATTCGATTCCGGACACTTGCCCAGTCCCATATTTTCCCACGGACCCTCAGAAATTGTCAAATCACGAATCCGGGCCCGTTTTCCCAAAATGTTGACCGAAGTCAAACTTGGTCTTTTTAAGAAATCCTAAAGAAGCAAATGGGCATATTTTTACTCAAAACCCTTCCAATCCCCGAACCAATCGCCCCCGCAAGTCGTAAATTAGTTAAAGCAAGTACGAGAGGCTTTATTTAGGGGAACGGGGTTCCAAAAGGTAAAACGACCGGTCGGGTCGTTACAATTTAGATGATACCTTATCAGACAAATATGATATGAATCTCATTCTATTAAAAGGCATATTCCCCAGTCTTTGATGCCAAAATAAGTCCATTTTATTTATAGAAGATGGCTGATTACAAGTTGAAACACCGATAATAGGATGAGTAAGTTGACTGTACTTATCAGAAGATACTGCAATGAAACAAGTATGGAAGATTGATTACAAGCAGGAATACTAGCATCAAACTTAGAAATAGTTAAAGTATTACAAGGACAACAATGAGACACAGAAGTAGATGAACCAGGAAAAAGGTTTGCATCTGGATAGAGGTAATAGAGCCTGCATGCAGCTTTACCAATTTTTAATGGCCTCTTCAGAGAAGGGCCCTGTAAATAACATAATGATTTGGTAAAAAGTGCTGAACACTCCGGTTGAGATATGAGTTGGTGGACAAATATCAAGTTAAAATGAAAAGATGGTACAAGAAGGACATTCAGTAAAATTATATCATATTTAAGATGCAATGATCCAGTTGATATAACTTTAACTTTATATCCAATATGTAGAGTTACCATAAGAGGTTCAATTAAAGGTTGCACATTGAATAGAAGGTGTTTATGGAGTCATGTAATTAGTGGCACCTGTATCTAAGATCCAAGGATTTATACCTAATTGTGATGATGCACATGTATGAGAATCCACAAGAACAAACATGCCCAAGGAGGAGTTTAATTCATCCCATAAACTCCCCATCTTAGTGAAGTAAGAGCTATATCAGATGAACCCTGAGTGGTTGAGCTGATTTCCTTCTAGATTTGGATGTACTTAGAGCCATTCGACTGACCAAATCCCGCATTGATGTCCTTCTAGACTTCCTTGGCAGTCTTGAAGCACATAACACTAGTGGCTATTTACCTAGATACAAAATTTGTTATCCAGGCCTTCACCGTATCATTACACGGTACCCAATATGGAAAATAAGGTGATTCAGGGGAGGGTTGTGAAACTCTCCCATCTAACATACTAAGTTTATTTTTCGCAGAGAGAGAAGTGAGCATACTACTACGCCAAAGAACAAAATCACATTCATTGAATGGCACAAATACTAATTGACTGCCAGGATTGTCAGATGGATGGATATAGAAAGGGTGAGAAGGGTCTAGGGTAAACGGAGTAAACTCGTTGGAGGTAGAAGAAGGTTCAGCTTTATCCATGAGGCTACCCATAATGTGGATCACAATAACAACAAAAGACTAGAGATAAACGAGTAGGACCAGACTAAATTTTCAAGCAAAATATATGTTGACAAAATATCAATTGCATGCAAGCCAAAATCTAGACAATCTCGAAGAATATAGACTAGAAAGATGTTATCAGCCTTCTTGTAGAACCTGAAGAACTAAGGTCTTGAGAACACGCAAACCCTAGAAAATGATTGAATTCACAAAATCGTCGAAAATCCTTGAGCAATCGAAACTTCCTACTGGAATAAGTTGTCCGAAGCCAGAAATGAAGAAATCCCCAATTTTCATCGGCGAAAACTAAAGATCGCCAGGTCCGCTATGAGTATCGAACAAGTACCGAAACTGACAGAGTTTTTGAGGAAAAATACCATTAGAGTAAAGCTTACAACAAGAGGGATCGAGATTCCCGCTCTGATACCATGTTAGATTGAAATTGTGTGAGCTATGGCGGATTTAAAGAAAGAAACCTTAGATGAAAGGGAGAATAAGAGAGACGAAGATGAGATAATGAGTCGGTTAATTCTATTTTGACCAATATATCTTATTAGTTGTCCATGTGGGCCTGTGTATACATGTACTAATTGAATTAAAAATATGAAAAAATAGTTACAGCTAAAATATAAAGAATACAAGTAAATGGGTAGCCTCTCTTAATGGGCCTGCTGCTTTCCTTTATCAGATTGGGCCCGAGACACATCTGGGTTAACAATTCATGACTCAAGAACAAATCTTAAAATACTTATCTAATTTTGCAAAATGTTACTCCCTCCGGTCCATAATAAGTGACTATTTTACCTTTTTATTTTTTTTAAATTTTGCCCTTATTTACATATTTCAATAACAATTAATTAAATTAATTTAGTGAACACATTAAAACCCATTGCATTGCTAATACCGTGGTTTTCTATGCATTAGTTATGCATAGAATAATACCAAATAAGATGTATAACTAATGGTTGCATAACTAATTTATAGATTCAAAATGTCTACCAAATAAAGTATTATTAATACACAAAGCTAATGCATGCATTATTTTATCTAACGCATTCTGCCAAAGGACCCCTTAATGAACGTGTGTAAAATGATCAATTGTGGACCGGAGGAACTATACTCGTACGGGGTCGTTTGGTTGCCGGTTAGAGTTATGCAGGTATTAGTTATACATGTATTAGTTATGCAGGGATTAGTTATGCAGGGATCAGTAATGCAGGGATTAGTTATAAAGGTATAAGTTATGCAGAGATTATTTTTTTGAATGTTTGGTTTGTTGTATTAGAAATTGATATACATTATATAAATTTTAAAGTAAAATGCTTGTTTACAACTATACCCATGGCCTTCTTTTGCATTGTTTTTTTCTCTCTTTCCATTTATGTAAGAAACAATTTAGTTAGGAACTTTGATGTTACTTTCACTTCTTCGTCATACTACTGAACTATGTGAAGTTTAGACATATTTGATTTTCACTTCTTAGTTTTGGTATTTCCATTTTCTAGTGGCTTCTCCAGTTTGCTTTTGCTAGTTTGTTCTTTAAAAATGAGAGAAGACAAGGTATATAGTTGGCAAGTGAAAGCAAGTGAAACCTGTTGACGGGTTGGCAGAGAAATAAGGAAGCCTTATGTGTAAAGTGATCGGGGTAAATTTGTCATTTCAGTATTTTATCCATGTATTACTAATACATGTATTAGTTATTCCATCTTCTACCCCGCATAAAATAATACACAGATTGACTCATAACTTATACATGTATTATTTATGCATAATTAAAAAATGTCAACCAAACATGGTATTAGTTATGCAGAATTTTATATAAAATAACTATTGCCTACCAAACATGATATAAGTTATGTTACCCCTTATACATGAATAACCTTTCTTCTAACCGGCTACCAAACGAGCTCTTAGTTTTAGCCAGCCCATCTATTTTGATATATGTTGGTTGGTTCTGCCGTAATCAGAAATGCAATGGCCGATTTCATTTTCATATTGTTATGTAAAGTTGAAAAAGCCAAAATAGATTCAAAGGGATATAATAAAACTACTTAGAAAAGACAAGGGCAACATTGTCTCAAAAATATTACAATACTTTATATTTAAAAAATAATTTGATAAACATTAAATAAAGTGAGTTGAGAACTATTAAGTTTCAGAATCCGACTAAAAAAATATTAGGTGTTTTTTCTCATTTGTCCACTCCCAGTCGATAGATCTATCCGATACTTATGCTGATGGGAGGTAGCAGATACCCCGTCATATCTATGTTGGTGGAAAGTAGCAGCTATATCTCGTGAAATTAGTCGAGGTACGTGCAAGCTAGCTTGAACACTGCTGTTGTAAGAATATAAAAATAAAATTTTTATTTATGTTTTACTACGTGATATTTTTTCATTTATTCAAGTTTTATTAGATAGAGTTATCCGATATTCGTGCTAGTGGGAGGTATCAGCTATCCCGTTCCGATACATGTACTGATGGAAGGTAACAGCTATCTCGTCCCAATATCTATGCTGGTGAGACGTAGCAAAATTATTCTGTGAAATTAGTCGAAATACGAGCTGACAAGTAAGCTGGCTTGGACACTACGATTAAGTTTTGGTGGATAGAATAATTCGATATTCGTATCGGTGGAAGGTAATAAGTATCCGGTTCCGCCACATGTACTAGTGAAAGACAATAGGTATCCCGTCCCTATATATGTGCTCAGTGGCGAATCCAGGTATTTCCTCAAAGGTGTTAAAATTCAAAAAAGTAAAATAAATTTCCGACAAAGGGTGTTCAATATACGTTATATACCTCTAAAACTTAATATTTTACTTATATACGCAGTGTAATTTTCCGATAAATAGTAGTCAATTGACCATCCTAACCAAAGTATGGCTTCGTCCCTGTATGTGCTGGTGAGATATAGCAAAACTATCCCGTTAAATTAGTCGAAACACGAGTAAGCTAGCTCGAAGATCACGATTATAAAAAGAAAATAAAAAGAATTTTTTTATTTAATTCGTTGACCCTTATAATTCCAATGGCGGCCCCTACGCCGTTGGCCTTGCCAAACAAACTTCTCTCTCTCTCTTTCTTTCTCTCTCACAAACTTTGTTGGCACATTAAAAAGAGAAGACACTCAGAAAGAAGCAGCAAACATATAACACAAACACATCACACAAAGAAGCTAATAAGAAGCAGCAGCAGCAACAACAACAACACAAGAAAAGAAAAAAAGAAAGAACAAAAGGGTGTCTTATTAGCTAGCTAAATATTTCAAAAAAAAGCTAGCTAAAAGAATTTCAATGGAGAAAGAAGTATTTTTCAAGATTCTTGGATTTTCATTCTTGGTTTCAATTATTATGATAAGGGTTGTGGCTTATTTATGGTTAAGGCCAAGAAAAATTGAAGAACATTTTGCCAAACAAGGCATTAGAGGACCTCCTTATAAATTCTTCATTGGAAATGCTAAGGAAATTGTTAGTCTTATGTTAAAGGCTTCTTCTCAAACTATGCCTTATTCTTCTCATAATATTCTTCCTAGAGTTCTCTCTTTCTATCATCATTGGAAGAAAATTTATGGTAAGTTCAATATTTTCTTCTCTTTAATTAACTCAAAATTCAGAAAAAAAAATTCAGTTTTTGATGTTTTTATGTACTTTTTAATGGTTTTCTTGAAACCATTAAAAAAAAAGTTCTAAATTTTTCGTCTTAAATCTTTTTCTTAGTATGTTAAAAAAGTTGATATCTTTATGTACTTTGTTGGTTTTCTTGAAACCATGATTTTTTTTTTTTTTTTGGTTGTAATTTGTGTTTTTGTTGTGATATTTGAGCTTGAAATATGAAAGCTGGATTCTTGTTTGTACTTTGTTTTTTAGAGCTCTTTATGTCCTTTTCTTTCTGCAATTGATGAGTTGGTGAAGTTGTGAAGTTCAGTGTTTCAGAATACTGCTGCAGCATTTTTAATTTTTCTCTTTATTCATTTTTTTTAATTTTCCAAAATATATTTTAATTAATAATTTTTTTTTGTGGTCCAAGAACTATAATTTCTTAAATTTTTTGAAGTTTTGGAACATCATAGTCATGGGGTTTTCATGAACTTTATTTATTTTTTTTGTTTCATTTTGTCTTTATAGTTCTTTTAGATTTTGTGTAACTTAAATTCTTGTTGATGAAGTTGTTAGTTTTTTTTGAGTTGTCATTTTTCTACCCTCTTCTTTTGTTTTTCTCTCTTTTTTCCCTTTATGTTGTAGGGTCTACACTATATCCATCCTCTCTGAATCACTGCCTATTTTTGTGATAACTTGTTAATAAATACTTGTTGCTTTCTGTCATTTCCTTTTTTGTGTAAAATTTTTCCCATCTCATTATTACTAGTATTGATTTTCAAGAATTTAATTATTTAATGAGGTGCATTTTTTTTGTTTGTTAATATTGGAGTTGTAATTAATTTAATTTATATTTAATGCAGGTGCAACATTTCTAGTGTGGTTTGGACCAACACCACGTTTGGCTGTAGCTGATCCTGATCTTATTAGAGAAATTTTTACTACAAAATCTGAATTTTATGAGAAAAATGAAGCTCACCCTTTAATTAGACAACTTGAAGGAGATGGTTTACTTAGTCTCAAAGGTGAAAAATGGGCTCATCATAGGAAAATTATTACCCCTACCTTCCATATGGAAAATCTCAAAGTAAGTAAATTTCCTTTCTTTTTCCATTTTTTTCTAATTTTTTTTTAATCTTAGTAAAAAAATATAGGTATCCATGTTGGAGCCCCGGGAATGAAGTCATCTGCGATAGGGGCGATAAAAACCCCCTATAGTAGGCTTTTAATGACATGAATTCAGTTAGTAGGATCAGTGGGTTTTGGATACTGACTTAGGAAATTTTAAGTTTTTTTTTTTTAACTTTTAGCCCGCGCCAGAAATTATTTATATTCGGCACTCGAAAAAATGTATAAATCTTGTATAATTTTTATATATAACATACAGAATATATATATACAAAAAATATATATTTTCGGTTATTATTTTAAGAGCGCCTATACAATTTCATTTTCTCAAATTTTTATATGACAAGAAAATTACTAATTTGCTTTTTTTTTTTTTTTTTTTTTTTTGCTGCAGTTGTTAATACCAGGGGCAGCAAGCAAAGTAATTGAAATGTTGGAGAAATTGACACAAAATTCAAAGAATGGAGAAATAGAAATTGAAGTATCAGAATGGTTCCAAACTTTAACAGAAGATATTGTAGCACAAACAGCTTTTGGTCGTAGCTATGAACAAGGAAAAGCTATTTTTAGGTTACAAGCTCAACAAATGGTCCTAGCTTCTGAAGCTTTTCAAAAAATCTTCATACCTGGCTACAGGTACAAATTAATTCTATTTTTCTAAGTCGGATAATTTGCATCTATAGCCTTTTCTAAGACCACTCTTTATATTTCGTCCCCGTTAACTCAGTGGACTAATTTTTTCCGTTGAAAACGGATACAGTTAGTCCAGTGAAGTAGCGGTGGACAAAATTTAAATAGTGCCATAAAAAAAGGCCATTTGCGCAAATGCCCCGTTAATTCAGCGGACTAAAGTATTGCCGTTGAAAACAGATAAAGTTTGTCCACTGAAGTAGTGATGGACAAAATCTAAATAGTGCCATCAAAAAAGGCTATTTGCGCAAATGCCCCGTTAATTCAGTGCACTAAAGTTTTGCCGTTGAAAATAGATAATGTTGGTCACTGAAGTAGCGATGGACAAAATTTAAATAGTGCCATCAAAACAGGCTATTTGCGCAAATGCCTCGTTAATTAGTGAACTAAGTTTTTGCCTTTGAAATCGGATAAAGTTAGTCCACTGAATTAGCGATGGACAAAATTTAAAAAGTGCCATAAAAAAGGCCATTTGCGCAAATGACCACTTTAAGCATGTCGCTACTAAACACCTAGAAAGTTAACTTACTTTTTTTTATTCCTTTAATTAATGGCCATTTTAGGTTTCTACCCACGAGACGGAACATCAAATCGTGGAAACTGGACGCGGAGATTAAGAAATCGTTAATGAAGTTGATTCAAGAAAGGACAGAGGATTGGGGGAAAGAAATGCAAGAAAATGGGCCAAAAGATTTATTAGGCCTAATGATACAAGCAAGCATGAAAGAATCATCATTATCATCATCCATTAATAGTTCTCTTAATCATAATTCTGCAATTAATTCCTCTATGATTACTGCAAATGATATTGCTGAAGAATGCAAGACTTTCTTCTTTGCTGGTGAACAAACGACGTCGAATTTGCTGACGTGGACAACCGTTTTGCTAGCCATGCATCCACAGTGGCAGGACTTAGCACGTGACGAAGTGATCAAGGTGTGCGGCTCACGTGACATACCTTCCAAAGATGATCTTGCCAAGCTTAAGATGGTAGGTCTATCCCATTAATTATTTATCCGCACTCAGTATTTACATCAGTTATGATTTAAAATATTATTTAAAAAAAATACATCTTGCATTTTTTGATTCGATGTCACTTACTGGATCATTGATATTTTTTTTCTGTTTATGTCACTTACAATTTAAAGTAATAAAACGTGTTATTTAATCATGAAATTACATCTCGCATTTATTGATTTGGTATAAATAGCGAGTCATTGATAATTTTTTCTATGTAGGTCCTCTCCTTTCCTCATTCATTACACTTTTTCATATTATACAAGAATGTGCAATTAAGACAAAAAAAAAACATTCGTCTTTTTGTCATTAGTAATTAGCAAATCATGCTTACTGATAAGTGAATATGACCAAAGTACTGTTTTTTGTTCTTTTTTTATTACCCAAAAAAGGGAATCAGTTTATTATTTTTTTCTTAAACAAGGAGTTGTACTACCACTTGTGTGGATTCCATCAAAGTAGAAGTTAAGAACAAGATTGCTCTATCGGCAATTGGTTTGAGAGCTGTCATTGTCATAACACAGTTAATATTATGAATTGAGATTTTTTTTTTTTTTTTCTAATGAGGTTATGATTTGGTGTTGCAGCTGAGCATGATACTCAATGAGTCCTTGCGTCTTTACCCTCCGATCGTTGCAACGATCAGACGAGCAAAGACTGATGTGGATCTTGGAGGTTGTCAAATTCCCCTCGGGACCGAAGTCTTGATCCCGATTCTAGCAGTTCACCACGATCAAGCGATCTGGGGCAATGACGCGAATGAATTTAATCCTGCTCGATTTTCTGAGGGAGTAGCACGAGCCGCTAAGCATCCTGTGGCATACATTCCCTTTGGGCTCGGAGTTCGTCAATGCATTGGCCAAAACTTGGCGATCTTACAGACCAAGTTAACGTTAGCAATTATACTTCAACGGTTCACGTTACGATTATCGCCACAATATAAACATGCTCCAACGGTTTTGATGCTACTTCACCCTCAGTATGGTGCACCTATCATCTTTCAACAACGGTTGTCCAACCCAACAATTGTCAAAAGCTCTTGACATGTCTATATTTTGGTGTGTGATGAGTGCATATATTTTCTTGGAGAAAAAAAAAAGAAAAAAAATGAAAGTAGAATTAAATGTGTTATTGCAAGGAGAAATTATATAGGAAGTAGGGAGAAAATTTATTTAATTCCTTTTTCTTGATTTGTTTTTTTCATTTTTCCTTTTTTTGCACCAAATACTAGTACTAACTAACCCTTCAAGTAGAGTCATGCCTTGTCTTTATTTTGCCAAAAAAAATGCTTGGATTTTCGGCATGTTTATGTTAGGATTTTTACATAGTGACTCAATAGGATTTCCTATTTTCCTACTCTTTGTATATGTGATGTATATGGGCTCAAGTCCTAACAAAGTTTTGTAATATTTTCATGTATATCTTTTGAAATGGTAGCTTTTGTGTTGCATCTCTCCCTTCTCTCTCTCTCAAAATTAAAAGTAAATGTGAAACTCGTTGAACTAGTGACAGATCTAATTCGGACCTTATATATAATTATATTTAAATACAAATTTACTGATTCTATATCATGAATCCACAAGTGTGATGAACATTAGATAAACAAAGAGTCACTAAAATAAAATATCAGGACAAACCCATCGGAGGCAAAAAATACAAGGATCTCTTTACATTTGGCTTAACTTTGGTGGAAGAGTTGCCCAATACTTACGCGGGTGGGAGCTAGAAGATATTCGGTATAATAGTTGAGGTACACGTAAGCTAAAAATACAAGGATCTCTTTACATTTGGCTTAACTTTGGTGGAAGAGTTGCCCAATACTTACGCAGGTGGGAGCTAGAAGGTATTCAGTATAATAGTTGAGGTACACGTAAGCTGATCCCGACACCACTATTGTGGTACCCTGATGCACATAGCATTTCGTATTCACGTAGGGTCTGGCAAAAGGTCGCCGCACCTCAAGGAGTGTAATATAGACAGCCTACTCTAATGTAAGCACTATTGGCTGCTTCCGCGGCTCAAACCCCTGACCTATAGGCAAAGGCGGATTCAGCTAGCTGACTAACACTGGGTTCAATTGAACCAATAACTTTTGATGCGGAGCATAAATTTGTATGCAAAAGTTCAATAGAGTTGCAATAAATAGTAGATATGAACTCATAATTTTAAAAATACAATGGGTTCATGGTAAGAACCTTAAAAAGGCTGAACCTATAGAGTTTAAATTCTGGATCTGCATTTGCCTATAGGGTAAAAATAGCACGAGCTAGCCAGTTTTTGGACTGGTCATTCAAAAATAGCCAGCGTTTGCAAAATCAATAAAAAATAGCCACTATTTTGCTGCAACACGGAAATTACAGCATAATATACTGGAGATCAGTGCACCTGTGTATGAACTTCCAGCATATTATGCTGGAACTCCAACACGCGGAAAGTTCCAGTATAACATACTGGAGATTTGAGCATCTCCAATATATTATGCTGGACCGGTATATTATACTGGAAATTTTGGACAATGTTTTCGTTCAGATTTATCTTTACATGAAAAGTGACTAAATTTCTGTTACTTTTGAAACTGCGATTATTTTTGAATGACCACTTGTAAATCTGAATATTTTTAAATTTCTCCCACCTATAGGTCCCACGAAAATAACTTTATTGTTGCTCGAACACTTCCTTGCAAGCAGACACCACCATCATCGAACAAAATTGGTAAAATTGCCACTTGTAATATTGGATGGTGCAAGAATAAAAAGAAGATCAAAGAATTTTTTGTTTATGTAGTTTAGTTACCAATAGATTGGTAAAATCGAGAACAAAAAAAATTGGGCAATGAATCGCGCTAGTGAGCCCATTGTTGCCGCAACAATTGTCCCTACGAACAATACCCTTGGGAAATTGGACCTATTGTGGAAAAAAGCATGCACCATTTTTTAGAAAAATTCAATATTTTAACACTTTTGGGATACATTAATTAGAGAAAATTATATCTTTAGGGAATGTCGTTTGGCTATGGCATAGTTAAACTTTTAATTATGCAATGTCACTTTAGATGAAAACAAAAATTCATATAATCGGTTTTAACTTATTTGGAATTGAGACATATTTATTATTACTTTGTTGTATCCTTGAAACAAAGAGAACAGTACGACCTTGTAAAAATAGAACATTCAAAATACTTTTAAAGAGAAAATATTGAGTATAATTGTTTTGTTATATATATATANGATGACATATATGATGCCGCTATATATATATATATATATATATATATATATATATTATTGATTGTTTACTTCTAGTTATTTAGACAACCAAATGAGAAGCAAAACTGCAAAAGGTCTTCCTTACTATTAAATTTTGAGTAAAACCAAGGGTACATTCTAATAATATATCCATACAAGTCTAGAAACTATATGTGTGAGTTCGATGTTGCTAAAGAATATTTTTAAAATACATGCAATTTGTAATGATTGAGTATTCTTTAAATATATATATATATATATATATATATATATATATATATATATAGTAATAATAAGAGTAAAAATGAGATGGTGGAAGGTAGAGTTTGCTTTAAGTTTGTTTAGGAATGCAAATTCTTGGAAGTTGAATTGCCCTTTTTCAATAACCTTGGCAAATTAAAGGGAAAAAAATATTTTATAGCTTCATGAATAGTGTTACTACTAGTATAAGTAGGATGTCAAGAAAGTAAAGAACATTTGCAATACCCAAGAAAAAGAGTTTAAGTTATGTATATTGTTAATATAAAACATTATTTGTATTATTAGGATATTTTTGCTTGTTATAATATGAAATATATCTTATTTTCAAGATTATTTATCAAATATACGGCTTACCCGGAAAGTGCACAAGTATTGCTCGGCTTTATGAATGATGTTTTCAATCGACAACCTTCGCTAGAATATTACACTGTGTAACTAGTTAAGTGTGTGTGTATATATATATTGACACCCAATGAATTCTTCATTGGATTTTCTTCTTTATATTTTAACCTCCCTAAATAAAAATTCCGGATCCGCCACTAACTAGTATCGCTAGGAGATTAAGAAAGTAAAGAACATTGCAATGCCCAAGAAAAATGATACAAAAGGAGAGATATATCTAAGCATGCAGCAAATGCAACTTTTTAGGGCATTGAGTTTGTAATTTTTGCATGTAGCAAAGATTGAAAGCAACAATCTTCCCTTTTACTATTAACCCTTCTCATGCTCTAAGAATTTGATGGTTCCCATAAAATTGCATGTTCTTGGGACTTGGTAGAGTCTAAACAATTATTAGCCTCTCTTATTTTGGAAATAATGATCAAATTTATCTTTATATTATTTGAAATTAAGTAATTTTGTTCTTAATTTGATTTATGCTCTAATATTACAGTCAAACCTCTCTATAACATCCTCGTTTGTTCTGAATATTTTTGAATGTTATAGCAAAGTGCTATTATAGAGAACATATATTATAACATAACATGAAAATTGGTTCCGGAAAAACTTGGCTTTTATAGAGAAATGTTATTATATAGGGATGTTGTTATAAGGATGTCTGACTGTATCATCGTCATTAGGAAAAATATTTTGTTTTTGCTCTAATTCTTAACATTGTTTTAATCTGAGTGTAATTCTAAATCGTATTGAGAGGTAAGACTATTTTTCTCGAAATTTTTGGACAATATAACATCCACTAATTTCGCGCTGGAGCTTTATAAATGTCAAGAAAAAATATAATATTATTTATTTATGGCAAATGTATGAATCCACAAATAAATGTATTCAAAGACAAATTTAGACATTTTCTTTTAATACTTTTAATCTAAAATTTTGTTGTCCTTTTTTTTTTGTTGTTCATTAAGTAGGAACTGGAACCAAAGCATGCTTTGAAGCATGTGAAGCCTTCCATAATTATTATCTTTAAAATTTAACTACGAATTCCTATAATATTGTTTACGAGCTATATCTGTGTGCAACACAGTGTTTCATATTAATGTCACTAATTAACATTAGTTCATTATCGCGTCGTTAACCTCGATTTACGTGCTACGAAGAATCGTAGCCACCTGATTAATACAATTTTTATTAGGATTATTATAAATAGTTTTATTATATATCTAATTTGCACGCTCTTTAGTTTAAACTATGATTTGCAATTACCCATTTCATATTAATGTCACTAATTGACATAAGTTCGTTATCGCGTTGTTAATCTCGATTTACGTGCTACGAAGAATCGTAGCCACCTGATTAATACAATTTTTATTAAGATTATGATTAAATAATTTTATTTATTACACATCTAATTTGCACGCATTTTAGTTTAAACTATGATTTGCAATTACCCCTTTCATATTAATGTCACTAATTGACATTAGTTCATTATCGCGTTGTTAACCTCGATTTACGTGCTATGAAAAATCGTAGCCACCTGATTAATACAATTGTTACAATTTTTATTTGGATTATTATAAATAATTTTATTATACATCTAATTTGCACGCTCTTTAGTTTAAACTATGATTTGCAATTACGTCCCCCAACCCCCAATATTAATTAGCTATTAGTGTCATCGTGTACGCTTAACTTAGGAACACATTAATGAATTTCGTACAACTGGAATATATAACACATCTCTTTCTTTAAAACTAATTAGCTTCTCGATACGTGTATTTTGAATCATATAGTACATAGTTTTATAAAATAATATTAATATTATCTCCCCCCC